GTAGTGAAACAAATTCATCTGAGTGAAAGCCTTCTGTCTTGGAGGGAGGCTCTTAAGATACAGGAAATAAACAACCCACAAGTCACAGGAAGTTCCTGTAATTTATCATTCACAGAGCATCTCATCACATAAGGAGTAAGGACCGATAAGGAGAGGTCACTGTCACACCTGGTGAGCTGCCTTCCTGAGCAGGAATCCCTTCTGGGGTGGACTTTTGATGATGCAGCTGTGCTTGTGTTGTCCATGTTACTGTAAGTGACTCCATGAAACTCATTGTTCACAAATTTGGACTTAATTGGAATCATATCTTTCCTCTGTTGTCAATGTTATATATAGGGTGGATAATTTTTATTCATATCTCACTAGGCAGTGTCACATACCAGGGAGGGGCATGAGAAATTCTAAGGACTTGCTAAGGAGGAATAATTGTTAAGTTTTTAAAACTTTAGTGCCATCTGAAGTTCTGTTTTGACAAAATGACATTGGAGTAAATGGGGATGAAAGGTTGGGATTCCTTGAGTTCAAAATGCATTGGTAAAAGAAAAATACACTTTAAAGTCTAAAGGAGACATAAAGGAAGCATTGGAATACCTTATTATTATTGACTTGCAAACTGTATTGCAACAGTGTAGCAATCTGTCAACATTAAAACATTTTGTGAAATTTCATTAGGTGGAGAAATGCTACTGTGTCATGGGAAATAGACTGGCTTTTGTATTTATCACTGGATTCAGGGAGTGATGGACTCTAGCAATCATTTCCGTGTATACTAGGTTTGTTGATTAGTCACCTTTGTAAGCAGAAATTAAAACTAAGATCTCATATAAACAAAAGGGCCAGACTTTATTTCATGAATGTTCATAGTCCAACCAGTGAATTAATGAAACAATTAATACAGAAAAAATAATAGAAGGCCCACATTGCTATTTTCTGTCACTGGTCACCTTAGGAATGGGTTAAAGTCCTTGGAACATTTAGGTAGATATTTCAAGAATACTTTCGGTAATCACTGGTAATTTTCGATTTGCAGGACTATGTAAGGTAGAAATTGACTTTTAAACCCTACAGTACACATAGGTGTCCAGGGAAAAGTTGAAAGAAATGAAAATTATGCCACTAGATAGAAAAAGAAATGCAGCAACACCTGCCGCGACCATGGCACTTCCAATTTCTTGAGTATAAAGCAGGGAAGGCACATGGAATGATGGTGGGAAGGCAATCCCAACCTGCCTTTTGATGGATACATAATTTAACAGAAAAGAAAGGGAGACAAAGCTGCTGACAATGATGTTCAGAATCCCTATAAAGCAGAATGGGTTGCAAAAGACCTTCTTCTGTTGTTTTCTTGTGTACATATTCCAAACACTAACAGTGATGGTGACTGTTCCAATCAGGGAGAGAAGGCTGGAGACCAGCATTAGGTGTTGGGAGACTCTAATATCTGTAGGAATGAAGGTATTGTGGTAAGAGTATCGGTGACAGACTCCGACATTATCAGAGTTGTTGGCATAGGGGTAAATACACATTCTCCACATTCCTACAAATGCCGTGTTGGACTTGGATACATCAGGTCCTTGAAAGTGCCACACTCTCCACTCCGGGTGATCCACGGAGGTGCTGCAAAGGACCCATGCCATGGTCGCCAAAGCAAGACCTCTTAGTTGGCGATTGGTACTTTTGTGGATCAACTTCATGTTGACAGGGAACACTGGGGAACTGAAAAGAAATACAGGACAACATAAGGATGAGCCCTTCAAGCCTGAGACAGTATTCCTTTTGGGACCAGTACCAGGAGGGAAGGGATGTGTTCTATAAATTGGGTCTTTGTCCTAGAGATCTGCTGGGGGGAGCGTGGCTGGGAAAACTCAGAATAGGGCCAACTGTGGCAATATTTACTGAAAGCTTGATAATCCACAATCTTTTCACGTGTCCTGTTCTGATGGTTGGTACAGATTCACAATGAATGTTGGCCCCAAATATTTAGTCATAAAGTTGGTCATGACAGCACCATTTATTATACTGAAAAGTGACAACTTGAAGGCTTGTAATTACAGAAATAATTTATGCTATGTACGCCCAAATGGAGCTGTGTGCCAACATTAAAGATATAAGCAAAGTTATATACAAAAGGTATGACATTTGGGGCTCAGCACTTTCAACCATTATAATATTTTGAGACATTATATGATTCTGTATCCAAGGCTGGCCTGATATTGTGTCCTCAGACTTTCCTCTAACTTGTCACAATCGTCCTGCTTTACCCTTCCAACTGTTGGGATTTAAGGCATGATTCACCACATCCAGTTACTAACATAATGTATTCAAGGTCCACTTACGTTGTAGCATGTGTGTTTTTCCTTTTTCATTTTTTTTTCTAGAGTCTCACACAATGTGTATGCCATGCTTTCCTTGGTTACTCCTCAAATTTAAACTTCTGGACTAGCTCCAGGATTTGCCTATTATGAACAAAGCCCCATGAATAGGAAACATTTATAAAACTTTATATTGGCATGCATATCCTAAGGAGTGGAACTGGGCAGAGACCATACATTGTATTGTCTATAATTTTAGAACTTACTCAACTGTATAGCGTGGTTGTATTTCTCACTGAAGAAACAGCATATAATAATTCCATTGTCTTTATAACCTCTCTTACATTGGCTATCTCAAAAAAACCCCACAATGTAACAATGCCAATAAATCAAGAGTGAATGAAAATTAATAAAGTAATGTTGAATTAGCTTTCCTGGGAGATACATTCACTTTAATACTTAGTACATAATGCCTTGAAGAAACATGTCCACTGGAACATGTAGCATATGTCAGAACCTGAGATAATTTATGATTGTGGGAAAATGCTGAACCACAGGTCAGTGTAAAACAATAAGAAAATTTTAAGTACATACATAATGTGATGTTTAGTTCTGATGTTCACTTGACATAATGTAGAATCACCCCATGAGGGGAGTCTTGATGAGGAATTGTGAAGATTAGGTTGGCCTTGGGCATATCTGTGAGGGATTATTTTCATTATGTTAATGTGGGAAGACACATCCAGTGTGAGTGGCCTCACTGCCCATGAAGGGACCATGAAGTGTTTAAGAGGGGAAAAACTATCATCATGATGAGTGCTAGCATCAACGCAAAGTTCATTGCTCTCTGTTCTTGACTATAGATGCGATGTGACTAGCTGGTTCAATTCCTGCCACAGTCACTTCAACACAGTGATGAACTGTAACTTCAAACTGTGAGCCAAATAACTTCTAGTTCCCTTTTGATTAGGTATTTTATCATAGCAACAGAAAAGGAAATTAAAACACAGTATAATTGTATGTATGCATAAATGTTTTTTAATTAATTCTTACATTTATTTTTGCTTACTATGAAATATGTTGAGCAGATATAATGCAAGGTGCATCTATATCCTAGGACCACACTGGTGATTTTAGTCCTATTGTTTTTAGGCTAAAAGTCTTTCACATTTTTGTTACTGTTTTGTTTTGTTTCCTTTGTGCTTTTGTTTTTCTGTGACAGTGTCCCAAGATGTAATGTAGGTTTTTTTTTAATTTTTATCAAACTCAGTATATAGTCCATATTTGTCTCAAACTTGAGGAAATTCATTTTTTTCAAGACTCTCAGGTACACGGATTATAGACATGTGCCACCGAACCTGCTCTCTCTGTGTGTGTGTGTGTGTGTGTGTGTGTGTGTGTGTGTGTGTGTGTCTTTAACCTTTTCATTTTTAAAACTGCTTAGTGGTAGTGATTTTTTTTCCTTTAAATCCAGCAGATAGAATTCATGGACTTATGCATCCTAGTCAAATGCTTTACCATCTGTCTAAGCACTCATCCCCAAGTATGTGTTTTCATGGGCCTTATTTTCAGGTACACTGTACAATGTGACTGGCGCACCCAGAAATAAATTCTAGGAAGGACCACAGGACAGTATGCAAGGAAATTCAGTTCCCTGAAACCAACTATCTGGAAAATGAGTAGTTTGTTACCCTCAGAATAAAGGTCTGAAGTCAGGTCCATCTTCATTGCTCAAGGAACAGCATTTAGATATAATACAATTTACCTTTTAGCCACACTTTTTTACCACAGATTTCACATGCTGAATCACATCTATGACCCAACAATAAAGACAGTTTTACAGGAGCCAATGGAAGATGTGTACGAATACGACAAGTAAGCAGAATATGGAGGCATGAAATCACATGGAAGTAGAAGTTCTTTAAGGGCATTTCTCTTAAATCAAGTCAAAGCAGGAATCCAAGTGTTTGAAATACACATGAGCGATGCCACCATGTGCTTGAGAGGTGTCCTGATTAGCAAGGTAAGAAATCACACTCTAAGCTTGGTGTCTGGTCATTGGAAGGTGTTGGTTCAGGTGAATGATGTGATGTGGCATGCTGGAGAAGACATTTAATTTATTCTACTGAGAACTTTGGGGAGTCTGGAGTTTTTATTAAAATACCATATCAATGGGCATAAGGAAAGGGCATGTTGAATGCTGAAGCTTGAAATTCCTTCTAATATCCAGAGCGGTTCTTGTAGCAATGGTAGGTATAAGCATCATTCTCTTTAGATACACATTGCTGAATCAATGTTTTTTCTGTTAAGGTTTCAGACCTACTAGGCATGGACTCTACCACTGAACTATATTCCTACTGCCTTTAAGGGACATGTAAATTATGTTTATTTGCAGAGAACATGATTGTTCATGCAGAAGATCCTAACAAATCTATGAAAACTATGAAGAACTAACAAGCAGGTTTAGGAAGCTGTAAGAACAAGA